TGGGGTGTCGGGTTACGGTGTAGGCTTTATGGTTTTATCGCTTAGGGTTTAGGGTTTAGGGTTTAGGGTTTAGGGTTTAGGGTTTAGGGTTTAGGGTTTGGGATTTAGGGTTTGGGATTTGGGATTTAGGGTTTAGGGGGGATGCTGCCATTCAGGGATTGGGGCCCTGGGGCTTGCAGATCCTTGGAGCCCTGTCGTCGCCCCGCGGATACCTGCTGGCACGTCTCGCCAGGGTTCCACGTCAGCTCCCCCTGCAAGCACAGCACGAATGCTCGCTTATTGGCTGCTTTGGCTTCAGTAAGGCTACTGCAAAGGAGACGAGCAAACCGCATGATGAATGCCACGTTGATTTAGCCGGCGAGCATAACATCCTTGAGCACCCAGAGTCAGCATGCCGACTGTACAAGCTATACACAAAACAGGGTGGCAGAGAACCAAAAGGGAACAGAACTCCGCTTTTGGGTTGCGCCCTGCTATTTGCCCCAGCCAGCTCTGGCGCAGGTCCGCCGTGAGAAGCCCGGGCCCAGCAGTTCCCGGTGGCCCAGAGGAGACCATGGCTGGAGGCGCTCTGACCATCCAGCCTTTCCGAGGGCACCATCAAAACTGCTGTGGACATGCAAGGCCCGCAGGCTGCAACAGGAGCAAGGCAGTGCACCTAGGAGGATCTGTGGAAGCCTCAGACATGGCGTCATATCGCTCTGCACCTCTATGATCCCCTTTCCTCACAACGAAACCCCCACAAATCCTCGAAGGACTGCCCCGGCTCACCGGCGGCAGGATGCTGCACAAGGTGTTTGGCAGCCCCTGCTCCTGTACAATAACTAACATTACGTAAGGGAGGTCCAAAGGCCTCGCAAAGTTCCTCTTCTCCTATGGAGAAAAAGAAGGAAAACGATCTACAGTAACTTTCTGCCTCATGCCCAGGAGAAGCCGTCTTCATGATTGCAGTTCATAAAGAAGCTTAACAGCAATCTCCAAGCAGTCTATGGGCAGAAGAATCTTACGCCTACCCCATCGAAGGTGGAGGCAGCCTTGTGTCGCCCCCACCTTTGTCAGACAGCCACTAGCCAGATCGCACGCAGAAGGCTCTGGCACCTCGAAATGTGGTTTAGGGTTCAGGGTGTAGTGAGTGAAGCTGCTGGGTGAAAAACCGGCTTTTTCTAGGAGAAGGTATTCGGACAACTGCTACTCAAGACTTACAGAGAAGCTTATGCGCGTGTCTTTCGGGCTCACTGCTGTCCGGTTCCCTGCCCGCAGAAATCTAAACCAGACCCGAAAACCTGATGCTAACTTGTCCTAAACCATGAACCAGATCAATGAAACCTAAAATAAACGTAGAGCCCCTAAATCCCCTACACCCAAACTTCACCCCACCTACACGGCGACAACCCTGTGTCCACCTCATCGGGAGCGCTGCGCCTCGCGCCGCACGGACGGCAAGACCGGCGCGCTGAGGCCCCGCGCCTTTGTGCTTCAGAACTCAGTGTTGAGGGGCTTATAATGCCGTTCAGCACTTAAGGAATCTAGCTTTTGCTGGGTGTCACGCTTCGGCTCGGATGCTGGGGCGTGGCCGCATGATTTCCTATGACCTTCTTGAGGTTTCTTCAGAATGAAAGTGTCGGTTGTGCACGATCTTGTGGACTGTTTTGCAAGCGACAGCCTTGTAAGGCTCCAAAGTGGCAGAGTGCAGCAGCGGCTTCTATAACGCTGAAACACCGTCATCATCACCACCCCATCACCACCAGCATCACAAGCAAGACGACCATGATGACCATCATTATGATAGATTATGTCGCAGATTGCTAGTATGAGCTCTAAAACTGCGCCCGGCCTTGCAGAAGCCGATGTAGTCCTGCCGGAGATGGCGAAAACAGAGCCCACTTCAGCTTACAGCCACCCCTCCATGAGAGCTTTTCAGTTCCATCAACAAGCAATCCTGGTTCATGCCTTTGATTTTACGTTCTCGCGCTGGATTCTGTGTGCCGGCGTCGGTGGGAGACTTACCAATCAGATGATTGCATGCTAAATTGGAATCGAACGATCTGAGCAACAAATGACTAGTTTCACCTCTCCTGCTGCACCGAGTGGATGAGCAGCTCCACACCAGTCGCTGCCTTTTCGAAGGAGCGCCTCCCAAAGAGAGAAAGAGAGGCGCAAAGACAGAGAGGGAGGGTCAGAGAGAGAGAGAGACAGCTTCACAATGCGGTTTACAACTCTGGGATATTGCAGCCTGCTGCATCGTCCATCATCAGAACTGAATCATAACTATCCTAATAACTGGCAACATGCTCCGCTCTGCTACAGTAAACTAGTGCTCCGGCTACGGTAGACGCAGCTATGTTGCTCTTTACCACCCTGCAGCTTAGATCTAGTTAAACCGAACAGAGAGGCGAAGACAAGACGATACATTACGGTGCTTCAGTGTGATACGATGGCTATCCTCAGCAACACATCATCCTGCAAAGTTCGAGTCTGAACTCTGATGGGTCGCACCTGTTGGTCGCGCTGACGCAGAGCATCAGGTCATCTGTGGACTCTTTGTGCTCTGGCCCCTCCAAGTACCTGCTGCTCTTGGGAAACTTAGGGCCTTTAGCGTTTTCGGGGTTCAGGGCCACTGAAAGACTGGGCCCTTAATCGTGATTGAAGAGATGTGTGCGGCAACGTGACCTGGCGATCATCTTATATCTCGATCGCTATCGTTTAATCGCATCAGAGCGTCTTCCACTGCACTGTGGTAGACCGGAGTGCAGTGCACTGTATCATGACGAGTGCTACTAGGTTTCACTAACATAATTCAACCCTAAACCCTAAACCCTAAACCCTAAAGCCCTGATTCATAATGTGTTCTAGCATATAACCCCGAAGCATTCGAGGCTCCGCACTTGGAACCACGACCACGCAGGCGAATCTTCACGGAACCGTCGCCCTCGATGATGCCTCGGGGTCGGAGACTACGCTCTTGCTGCAAAGCATTGAAGAAAGCCTTTCCCAAGAAAATGTAGCCTGCCACAACATACTGTTTTTAAACCTTGCTACAATCTGCTTTCATGAACTCGAACGGACTGTTGACTAGACGTGCAAAACACAGTGAAGCACTCTCCTGCATCAACTGATCTGATGCTTTGAGAAGGACACTCCAACAACTCAAACAGATAATTGGTTCTTGCCACGGCACGCTTCATGTTCTCGCCACCCGGGCCAATGATGCGTCTGCACACCTTCTGACTTTCCATTGACTCTCTTTATCTAGACATGGCACTCTGCCCAAGGGCTGCACCCCTGGCTGATAGCAACCCCAATATCAAACAAACTACACCACACTCACACGACAGCTCTCAGGAAGATTCCCGTCGGTTCGGCCCGGCCTGGAAAGTGTAGTCCTCTTCGATGCCCACCTTCACTCGGCAGAGGTACTTGCCTCCTGGCGAGCTTGCAATTTGCAACCTTGCCAGGTCCCAACCACCAGCGGCACCGCTTGGCTGCGGCGTTACCGGGCTAATGTGCACCGCTGCTACCGTAAATCTGGGTGAGCCTCCAGTCCCTGCTCCACTCTTCTCTTGTCCACGCTTGCCTTGCGGCAAAGCAGCTTACACAGGGAGAGAAACAGGAGCAAGGGCCAGCAAAGCGACATGACAAGAAAAATCCACGGCGAATTGCGGCAACCGCCAAATCAACACCACCAGCAGATGTCTTTCAGAGGTCCCGGCCTTTGGAAGAAGCAGCTCCAGCTTGGTTTCCCGATTTGTTGGGGGACGGTCCTGGCAGGGATGCTCACGTGACTACGGGTGGCAATGATGCACAGCAAAACCCAATTTACAATCACGTTCGGCTTCAGATAAGATGAGGCAAGGATGCTCAATGCTCAACCCATCTCTGAACCGTCCTGCGCCGACGTTGCCAGGCTGTTGCACCGTGCAAGCAGGGCTGCGATTGCCCTGGCAGCGCAGCTTGGCCACTGCGATCGAGCCCATAAGGCAACCCTAGAACCCTTATGGTAACATGTGGTAACCCTGGCACAACCCTTATGGTAGTCCTCATAGCAACTCTCAAAGGATCCCGCATAGTAGGCCTCCTAAAACCCAAATAGGACCCCTCTGATACGCCGAATAGAACCCTGCTGAACCCTGATGGTAACCCTTACATCGGTCTTATGGTAACCCTTGTAGTAGCCTCATGGCATACTGGCTATAGGATCCTCCTCAATTCGGCTTAAACCCTCTGACGGCCTGGGCTTGCAGGAGCTGCTTCGTCTTGCTTGGAGGAATCGGCAGTGGGCCTCAGTAATTCCACGAAGCTGAAGCAATTCAGGCTTCAGGGTTTAGGATGAAGGGTTTAGGGTCCAATCTTCGCCGTCCACCCGCCATCCCTGAAGCCAGTGCCTCCATGAAACGTCCACGAAACCCACCAAGCCCAAGCTCATGTAAGGTACAGACATATGTACAGACCATAAAGGGGACAGTAGTACATAGTCCTGCTAATGCTTGCGATACATAAAATAATGCAGGACACCTGCGGAACCACCTCTTTCAGAGCTCCTTTTCATGATGCGACTGTACAAGCATCTGGGTCGCAGGAGGTCGTTCGGCCACGGTCCCATCAGGTCTCGTCGTGTCCGGGCACCTCCTCCGGGACTCCGGGAGCCTCCGGGAAGTCTGAGAACTTTTTGCGTGAGATGCCAGTGAAAACCACACGCCCTAAAATCTAAACCCCTGAACCCTACACCCTATTCCCCGACACCCTCAACCCCTAAACCCCCAAACCCGAAACCCTCGACCACCCCGGCCTCCTCCCAGAGCGCGCCCGGTGGCACCTCCCCGAGGAGCCGAAACCAGCAGCGGCTGCCCTTCACGCGGCCCGCCGAGAGCTCCTGCGCTCGTAAAGGGGCTGGGGGATTTCATAGGGTTGAAAGCTATTTTTCGTGAATGCCTTTTTCCTTTTGGGGTTTATGTTTAGGTTGGGGCTTTGGGGTTTCGGGTTTGGGCTTTGGGGTGTGATCCACAGGTCGCGCTCTGATTAGCGCTGTAGTGCAAAGACATGCCCACCCAAGACCACCCATACACAGCTCACAGCGAGCCAAACCGGAGCCTGTCAAAATGTAAGCCAACACCAAACAAGGTGGTGTTCGCAGATATGGATGTGTCACTTACAAGTAGCAGACTGGAAGTTCCTGAGACTCGCCTCAGGTCGTGACGGATTGGGGGGTGCCGATCCCTGTCCGAGCAACATTTCGGACTTGCGCTGGGGTACGTTCTGGGCCGAAGGGCCTTGTCATCGATATGTCGATCTGTGGAGCGGTTCCTGGTCCACTTGGAACCTATTCAAGCGTTGGGCTACGTTAGGAAGGGCTCCCTGGACTCGCTTCATATCGTGGGTGATTGGATGCCCAAATCAGTGCCCCTTCTTTTCCACATGGACTCGCCTCACGTCGTGACGGATTGAGGGGCATTGATTTGTCGAAATTTGGCCTCCAACCCCTGTCCAAGCAACATAGGCTTTGCGCTGGAGCACCCCAGGCCCGTCTTGTCGTGAAGGATTGGGGGCCCCAATCCTCGTCCAGTTGGGGGTCGCCTCAAAATCCTTGCGCAGTTGAAGGGCGCCTCAATTGCCCCAATCCTTGTCCATTTGGCAGGGCTTCCCCAGCCCCGCTTCAAGTCGTGAAGGATCGGCTCGCCCCAATGGGGTTTAGGGTAATACAATATACATCAGCGATGATAGCTTGGCGACCTCTCAGCTGTGTGCTTGCAGGCTCTGCAGCTCCAGCAAAGCCTGCTTGGTCTCGCTGAGCGCTCGACTGCGCCCGCCTACCCCAACAGAAGTGAGAGGGGTGGCGGGCGGGTTTAGGATTTGGGGTTGGGATTTGGGGTTTAGGGTTTAGGATTTGGGGTTTAGGAAAATAGGGACCTGAGGGGACTCAGGGATTGCAGTCTTTTCGGATTCGTGCTGCAATGGTCTAGGCAGATTCTAAGCGGCAATTTGCTCACATCACTCGCACTGGCTTGTATTTCCCTCTTACTGGCCTTCACTCTCAGAATACAATATCCGCTACATTGAAAACAGTAGCAACTGACAGCAAAGGAGCAACGGATGCAACAGCAGTGACCACAGAGGGCACTGTGCTGAGGCACAAAGCCAGCACGAACGGTGAGCAAAGCTTGCACAAACAAACGGTGGCCAAAATCAGCACCACTCATGATGCAGATGGCAACCAACGTAAGCATGGCGACAGTCGTCGTTGTAGTAACATGCAGTCTGCACAGCAGCCATGGGTCGCGTAACCATAATAGGAGTAAACAACATCATACGAGCTCTTCATAACAAAAGGCGTAGTTTCTTCAACAACCGATCCTAACGCCTGTACAAAGAATCCACTACCAAATCCCCTAAGGCATCAAACCGTGAAACCCCCTTTTTAGGTCCTGGGATCGGAGCTTGGCTTCTGAATGAGTCGCCCGCAGCACATCCATGACGATGACCTCACCGGAGATCGGGGCTTTGGGCCCTTCAGCTCCAGACTCCAGGCCGTGGTTTGTAGGGGTCTTTTCGACGAAAGAGCCGTCAGCAATAACAGTACGATCAAAACACCCCGAAGAAGTCGAAGAGGGAAAAGATGCGAGCCAAGTGTCTGGGCGATCTGCCACTGCCCTCTCGCCCCATCGGAGGATGCCTGAGGTTCTGGTCAGAGCAGTCTTGATCATCCGCACTAGAGAAGTCCACAAGAAGAACGGCAGCTCCAAAGTTGACGATGTCAACTCCTGGTAGCACTGGCAAATTAAGTTGCGAAGCAGTGCGCTCACGATTGGCTGAAGAGAGTGGCCGAAACTTTCACTTCATTGCTCGTCCCTCCTGCGTTGAGCCAAGGAGCAGTACACATCCGGTGACGGATCTCCGGGCTGACTGGCCACCTGCTCAACGGTCAAGTCGTGAGGGTTAGTGGAAGACTGCTGTTGTGGGTATTTACGGCATGCCAGCCGCAATGCAACACAACTATTTGGCACTTCCATCGCTTGCAAAACTAGTGTTGGATCGTGGATGGACGGTCCTCAACACAAGCAACCGGATTGCAATGCCATGCCCTTTCTGTGCGACTGTTCGCGGTGATAGAATGGAGTATGCTAGTGTATGCTACGTCGCAGGAGGGCATACTACACAAACAAGGGCTCACGCACTTCTAACGTGACCCCGCCTCAGGTGCCGGACCTTCACCCAGCGCCTTCAGCGCAGCCTGCAGGTAGATACAAGTAGCAAGTAGGAGTAGGAAGAAGAAAGAGTGATAGCAGGACTAGAGACAGTCTTGAGCGAAAGTAAAACTTGTCATCCCTATCCGATAGTAGTAGGTAGTAGGTGGTAGGTAGTAGGTAGGTAGTAGGTAGGTAGTAGGTAGTAGGTAGTAGGTAGTAGGTAGTAGGTAGTAGGTAGTAGGTAGTAGGTAGTAGGTAGTAGGTAGTAGGTAGTAGGTAGTAGGTAGTAGGTAGCACTAGCACTAGCAGTAGTGGTAGTAGTAGTAGTAGTAGTAGTAGTAGTAGGAGTCGGAGTCGGAG